TGCAAGCCCCGGTAGCCATAATATAATTATAAATAAAAATTTAATGTAGTAATTTTATAATACACTATTTAATTATATTTACTTACAGGTTTAATATCGTTTTCTAAAGCAAGCAGGAAGTCATTTCGAAATACTTTTAATTTTTCAGTTGCTTCTGGATCAATCTCAACTTTACTTGCTGCCTAGAATTATAAATATATATATTTAGCACTTAAAATTTTAGAAAATTAAAGAATTTTTTATTAAAATTATTTTGAGATTCTTTAATTATACAAAGAATTTTAACTATAATAATTCATTTTTGAATTAAATTATCATTATTATTATTTTGAAGTATTTTTGGTAAGAAATAAAATCCAAAAACACCAATTAGCAAAAATGTTATGCACCAAGAAGAAAAAGTTGGAATCAAATAAAACTTTATTAGGGCAGATGTAATGATGAAGGTAATAAAGGATTACAATATCATAGCAAAGAACAATTTCCCATGGAATAATGTTGTTTGTAGGTTTTCTTCTTGCTTGGATACATGAAATACAGTTGGGCATGTAGGCATCATATGCTATCCTATAACAGATTTGTCCACAGATGTGTATCTGCTGCTTCAGATTCCTTACACTTGTAGATACCAAAATTAAAGTCCCATCTAGTCCTTCAAATGATCCATGAATGACAAATCAGGAGAAAGGTGGCAATGTGACAGACATTCCTGGGAATTCCTAGTTATTTATCCTGCTGAAAAGGGGTCATTTGCAGCCCAGTCACAAAAGACAACTGTGAAATTTGAAGTTTATTTAATTTCAAAAAAGAATTAATCCTGTACCTAAAGAAACAAACTATAGAGTTCGTGGGAATTTTATAACTCTTCCTGTCCAAACATACACATTCTCACAATGAAACCGTGTAAAGTTTACATTTACCGGTCAAATTCGTCATTTTGTTGTCATTCTAACAGCAACTTTAACCGTCAACAATTGGTCTCGTGTCATATTTTCCCACCACAAAGGTATAAAAGCCAATCCTCCTTTCCCCTCAGGGGAGTTGTTAATCGTTCGATAGAATGGACTGAGTGTCGAAGTCGGAAGTTTGTCTATGTCGCCAGACCGTACTACCCTTAAAAGCCGTAGAACTTGTGCCACGACTGGAATTAGTGTTGAAGGGATATTCCTTGAGAATTCCCCAAGAGGTATGAAAATTATTATTCTAAACTCTCTCTCCCCCCTCCGTGGATTAGAAGGCTAGTGTGTTAGAAACCTTGTAATGTTTTTATTTTCTTTAGTTGATTTAAATAAACTCTTGTTTTGTTGTTAAATAATGTCTTTAACTGTCTCGACTGTGCCAACGTCTTATCATTGACCCTCTCTCACTCTCCTCCACTCGCGTAATGCATAACAGAACGTAACGCCATCCTTGACAAGAAAAAGGTCAAAGACCTGTGGCCGGTAGGGAGAGAAATTTCCAACCTCCCCGGCAGCTCACACAACACATAATACAAGATTTCCTGAACATACCAATTTTCCAGAAATATCCGTCATCCCACTCTACTGGATGATTGACTGTTACATGTGATAGATCCCCAGATGAGCATGCCAGCAGTGTGATAGTATGCCACTCAACAGTTAAGGCAGATTGAAGCACTCATGGTCTCCTAAAAAACTAACACTAACAAGTTTAATAGATATTATTCAGACAAATTATTTCTTTTACTGTTAAAAGAATGCATGGATATGATGAAGTTACATATATCCATGCATTCATATAACAGTAAAAAAAATATTTATTACATTTGTTTTCTCAAATTATTTTATGTACAGTGGTGCCTCATATAACGTACGCCTTGAATAATGGATGCTGCAAACAACGGACTTTCTGTTTGGCCGTTACGTGACTCGAGCAACGGACTTTCTGTTTGGCCGTTACGTGACTCGAGCAACGGACTGGCTGCAAACAATGAATTTTCCGTTCGGCAGTTATGTGAAGCAAACAATGGACTTTCTGCAAACAAGTGTGAATGATGTTTCCACTCTTTTGCCGTTCCCAATGACAATCTGCTATTTTTATAATATATTAGTATTATTAGAATATATTATTAGTATATCTAAAGTACAGAGCTCCCGTTGGGATTCGGCTTGCTCCCTTGTTTATTGTGCAAATCATGGCTTCTAAAAAACAGAAAGGTGATTTCAATTGAAACAAAGCAAGACATCATCAGGAGTGAAAGTTGACAAAAACTTCCTTGTCAAATAAGGAGAGGTTCAGGAGTTTACCAACACTCACTATCCAAACACAGTTGAGGCCAACAGGATCAATGATCTCTACAATGGCACCCTTGCCCGTCATTTCTGACAGGTGTTGAAGAAGAGAGAGAAACAGATCATCTTGGACTTATTTTTCAAGAAGCCAGCTGCCAAAAAACAAAGAATGGAACAAGAGGAGTTCACCCTGCAAGCCCCGGTAGCCTCTCCTGAATCTGAATCCAATTAAAAAACAATACAAAGAGACCTGTTGCAATGTGTAAAAAGTCTGTATCTGTATGAATGTGTGAATAAAGTGTTCCTCCACCTCCTCCTCACAACATCTGACTACCCGACATAATTGGTGACTGCTCCATTTTCATTTTTTTATGGCATAGTATGGTTATTTTATGCTGTGGAATGAATTATATGTTTTAACATGTATTTCTACGGGAAAATGTGTTTCGTATAATGGACTTTTCACTTAACGGATGTGCACCTGGAATAGATTAAGTATGTTATACGAGGCACCACTGTATTTATTAATTAATGATTGCCTGATAGTAAACCAATCATAGTACTGTAAGTCCAAAACTTTATACACATCCGGTATGAAATCATTCTTTAACAAGATTACACCACATGGAAAAAACATTTGGAATATACAGTGACATCCAATTATTATTAAGCAATTGGTACCAATGCACAGAGCTTACATCTCTGCATGATTCCTGAATTTTAATATTCAATTGTATAAACTATTGGGTTGGCCCATAAGTTCTGGCATTTTTTTAATTGAAAATTTTGCATGTAAAATAAAATGTTTTAGCAATGTTATTTGATAGAGAATTATGTGCTCTACAAAATAGTGTGTTTAGTTCTTTTATGCTGATATACTTTTTGTTCTTTTCAGATCAATAAAATGGAGTGTGGAGTGAATGGAAAAAGTCGACAAAAAAGAGCATTTTTGACACCTGCTTTTTGCATTTAATCAAGGTGCCAAACCAGTAGCTGCTCAAGAGATTTGTGAAGTGTATGACAAAGAAGCGATGCCTCTTAGGATGGCTCAAAATTTAAGCGATTCAAAGACAGCACTTTTGACCACAAAGACATGCATCACACTGGACACTCCGTTCAGTTTGATGAGGAGCAACTGAATCAGCTTATTCATGAAGATCCATGCCAAATAACGAGGGAATTGGCAGAGATAATGGAATGCTCCCACATTACCATAGAGCGTCACCTTCACTTGATGGGAAAGGTTCAAAAGTTGTGTGCAAGGGTTCCGCATACTTTGAACAACAACAACAACAACAACAAAAATCAACGAGTCACGATCTACACCGGTTTGCTTGCCCATCACCAGTCAACTCATGGACACAAGCAGCGATTCCTCTACCAAATTGTTACCAGCAACAAAAAATGGTGCCTGTACAATATGAAGCAGCACAAAGAATGGATTAGCCCCGACAAACAAGCGACACCATGAGCAAAACAAGATCTTCACCCGTGTAAAATGATGTTGTGCATATGGTGAGACTGGGAAAGCATGATCCACTATGAATTGCTTGCTTAAAACCAAACAGTAAATGCGGAACTTTATGTCCAACAAATGCAACAACTCAACAACACTATCCAGCAAAAATGACCTGATCAGCGACATAGCATTCTTCTGCAACACAACAACGCCTGCCCTCACATCACCAATATGACCAAGGAAGCCATTCAAATGCTTGGTTGGGAAGTGCTGTCACATCCTCCACATTCTCCTGACTTGGCACCTTCAGATTTTCATCTATTCCAATCCTTCTCAAATGCATTGCATGACATTTCATTCAATAATGACGTGAAATTGAAGGCTTGGCTGGATGACTTCTTTGTGTCAAAATCAGGTGATTTCTATGGTTGAGGCATTGAACAGCTTGTTGAATGTTGGGAAGAAGTTGTAAACAACAATGGAGAATACATTATTGATTGATTTGTTGTTCATTTTTTGTTTATTTTTGTGGAAACCTAAACTTAAAAAAAAAATGCCAGAACTTATGGGCCAACCCAATACATCAGTGACAAAAATATTATATATCTGATAATATGATATACTGATGATTACAGATTGATGGTTAAAAACTGAAAGCATGTTCAAATGAAAAACAGTGCTAAAACAGGAAAAGGTGCAACATGTTCAAATGATAAAACACTGACTTATCAGTTAAGCAAAAACCACAAATATTGTGATAAATACATATCCATTATATTTATACACAGTGGCCACAGCATGTTCTATTATGAAACATTGTCTAATGAAAGTATGAAGTCAGCCAAACTTTGTTAGAATTTAGAAATGAAACAAAGAACACATCAACAAACCTGTTTCATATTTTCAAAGATGATGGCAAGGACTGTTTTCAAGACAAAATTCAACAGAAAAAATAACAACTGGCTCTGATAATAAAAATGCTGTCTTGGCTTCTTATTATCTATGTTAGTGAATAGCAAAAAACAGAAAACTACATACAATAGCAGAGAGACTAATTTTACCTGCTTCATGCATGAAGATATAGTAGCAAAGAATTGTGATATGATGTCATTATCAAACACCACTTTGAAGCAATAAATAAAAGACATGTCTGATAATGTGAAAAATTAACTAGTGGAAAAAGTGCTCAAAAGTCAGTACTATTCTTTGCAATTATACAGTTCTGTGAGAACCCAAACTAGTGAAATTTCTTTGATTTAAATTCACCCAATTTAAGTTTTTGAATTTATGCGTTTTATTTTGCCAAATTATAATGGCAAAGATATCATAGATACTGTTCAGGAACTTCAGAACTTTTCTCTTGGAGTGTACTTTCCCCATGAGTGACATAGACAGCTTCCAAAGAACTATTCATCAGGGAAAATGGAGACAAAAATCACAGATCGAAATGACAGACAACTTCACTAAAAATGGGCATTGTAATGCCAGGAGGAGGACCTCCAAATAAAAGGGTAAAAAACAGACGATGACATGCAGAGTTTGCCAATCATCCTCCTTTTGTGTGAGTGTATTCTAGTCATGCTCCATCACCAATTACTTTGGCTGCTGCCATCCTCTGGACTTTAGATGCCTGTAACAACAAACCTTTCATAGCAAACTGTACCATCAAGGAATCCAAACTTACCCAAACCAGCAGAAATCTCTCCACCCCTTCATCAGGACAATATCAAGTCTTTGATCAATCCAATTCAACCAACCCAGGTATTTATCAACATGTGTCCAAGTTTATAAACTCTCTCTCTACCCTATGTGATTATAAACTAAACTCTCTCATTTATGTTTTGCTCTTGTAAAATCATTATGTTAAATAAATTGTTGTTAATTTTTGTAAGTATGTAATGTTAAATATGTTAAATATGTAGTGAAGTGCATTATTTCCAATGCGCTGTCTCTTGACCCCCTCCTTAATCCTAAACCCATTGTTTACATACACGACTGTTCATGTGAAATTAACATACAGACGTAATGGTCACAGTGGTGTCAGTCCTGACTGGGACACTGTCAACGCAGTGCTGATCTAACGGCCACAGTTCTAACAAGACTTATTTGCTTGCATTCATATGGTACAATTAGTGTAGATGTTTTTGTTTTACAAATTATTTGCCAACACACACTACCAGTGAGTTTATTTTTGCTAGTTTGAATGATATCATAATTGCAAATGAAAGTGGATAGTCAAAATGTGTAGGAGTTAGTGCTGATAGGGGCTTCTGCAATGTCAGGAAAGTACAAAGGATTCAAGACAGATATTCAAGTCATTTTACCAAATATCAGATGGACTCATTGCTTCAAAAACAGAATCATTAGCAGCAAGAAAGATGCCAAAAAAATAGACACTGGATGAAGCAGTGAAAATAGCTAATTTATAAATGCTCATCTTTTACATTCCTATATTTTTACTGTTTTTTGTGAGAAGACAGACAGTGCCCATTAACAACTACTCTTGCATTCCTGCATATTTGGATTGTCTGATGAAATACGATTATTTCTTCATGATAAATCATAGGAGTACATGTATGTAAAATATAAATAACTATTACGTATGTTCTGTAATTTCTTATATAGTTTTATCATTACGTATAATAAAACTTGAAGAGAGGCATATGGCCAAAATGCATTTCCTTTTATACAAAATAGACAATAAAATCTACTTTTTCCATTGAAAAAAGTGTTCTTTTATGATAAGTTCTCAGTAGCGAATTTTTGCTTAATTCCAAAGAACATACAACCAAAAGAGAGAACAGCAAGCAATGAAGTACTAAGCATTTTTGTATTTCATTCAGACTTCTGATTATCTGTGAAAAACGAATATCCAGAACTGGCATCCAAAACATAGATATTTAATGCCATTCTCCATTACATATTTATGTGAACAGGCTTTTTTCAGTTGTTTTATATAAAATCAAAATACACAAACATGATAAACATGAAACCTGACCTATACTTAAAACTGTCCACCACTGAACCTAAAATTCAAAGCACAATCAACAAAACAGCATCAACCATTTCATGAAATGAGTAAGTTTTCAGCTTATTGAATAGAATCAATAGAATAGTAAACAGATTTTTCAAAGCTTGGGGTCTGTAGAAATATTCATTTAAAAAAAAGCAGGTCCTTTGAAGTGAAAAGATTGGAAATCACTGCTTTAAAACATAGAAATTACCACATGTACAACAAAGTGAAGTACACTTACTAGTTAGAATAAATTGGTAAAAGCATTTTTTAAAACTTTAATGTCAAAATATTCTTTTTTATTAAATGTTTCTTAAAAGTTTTTCTGGTAAAAAAAAAAAAGCATTATGTGAAATCCGGAATTTTTACTGATTTTTTTTTCTAGAAACTAGAGTGGAAAACAACTTGAAAGGGGAGAAATTTTAACCTCTCCTTTTTTTCAAAATAAGCATTTGCCCATCTTGACAACTATTCCCACACTACGAACTTAAAAGTTAATAGTTAACATACAATTTCATCATTTCATTTGGGTTCCAGGGACAACTTTGACCTCCCTGCCACCTTTTACCTCACAACTAATTAGTCACATGACAGTTTTCCCACCGCAAAACGATAAAAGCCACTTCTCTTCCCCTCTCCAGGGGGGTTGCTGATTGACAGTAGAGAAGCCAAGTAGTAGAGTAACCTAGGATTTAGATATAACTTTGTGCCCTTATTCACCCTTCGAGGACTCAGTGGATTACCTATTTTTCGCCAGGATATCCAAACACATAAAGAGATATGGAACCAACTTTTGTGAACTCTCTCTCAGCCCCTTCGTGCTTTAGGGACTCAGAATTTTCCCTCAATAATAGTTATTGTACCATCTATATAGATAACTAATAAATCTTTGTTTCCTTGTTAAATTGGTGTCCTCTTCTACTCGTATATCGCCAGTCATCTTACCGATGGCACTCCTCCCTCCTACACTCGACCAGACCCAAAAAATTAGTCCATTCCCTCAAGATAAACTAAAAATTTAAGCCATCTCTGATAAGTAGGCAAGTCCCTCCAACTTGAAAGCCGATCCAAGGACGTAGTCCTACCCCCCAGTTCTCACAATTATATCAAAAATAAAAAAATGGAGTTGTCCAAAAAGTGATATAATTTTTCAAAAACCATTTGTAGCAAAAAGTCATTAAATAAAAAAACTATTAAGCAAGGGATAAGTGTTAAAAATTAACAAATTTCTTATTAATAAAAACTAAATATTACATTTAACCATTACTACTACTGATTTAAATACAGTAATTAACTGTTAATTGTCGTGAAAAATTTCTTTCAAAATTTTTATATCTTTAAGCTAGTTAATATTCTTACCTTTATTAATCTATTCATTGCAGTTGACTGTGCAGCTCGTACTAATCCTTCAATTTCAGCACCTGAGAAATTTTTGGTGAGGGCAGCTAGTTCTTTAATATCAACATCATCTGCTAATTTACCATGTCTTCTCATCTGAGCTGTATGTATATTTAATATTTGGCTTCTGCCAAATCTATCAGGTAATCCTAATTGATAAAGAACATAGTGCAAAATAAAAATTTATTTAAATTCAAAATTTTTACAATACAGACTAACTTTTTACAAATTATATGTAAGATATTACCTATTTCCATTTGTACTTCTAAACGACCAGGTCGCAACAATGCTTCATCAATCATATCCCTACGATTTGTCATCCCAATAACCAAAATATTATTTAAGGATTCTACGCCATCAATTTTTGCAAGTAATTGGTTAACAACTGTATCATGAACTCCTGTATTTCCAGCCTAAAATATGTTGAATATTTGAAATGCATTTTTTCCCCTTCATTTTCTATTGACTGAATTTTTAAAGAAATATTTCAAATAAAATAAACATACCACAGATCCTCTTGCCTTACAAATTGCATCAATTTCATCAAATATGATAATATGGAGTCCACTGTTAGGTCCCAACTGTTATATAAAAGTTCTATATAAATCATTTGTATCTAAACATAAGAGTTATAAAGTATTAGATCTAAGAAAACTAATGATACAGGAAAATTCTGAAAGTATCTCTTGATGTATGTGTGACATATAATGCAGCAATGTTTTAGAAAAATCAAAAAATTACACTGATAATTACAAACTAAATTTTTTACTTGAAATTTATAATAATATACAGAGTCATTATAATTAAAGTTCCACTTTGAAATGGCCATAAAAGGAAAACTACTGGACAGAATGTTATCAAACTTGATACTTGTTTATAGGAAGTCATAGAATTTTATTTTTTTTCACCAAAAAAAAAAATTCAAAAACTCCTCGTAGCATATTTAACTTGCTTTCAGAAAATGGTGGACGCCACATTGAACATGCTTTGTAACATGTTTTAGAAATAATTAAAAACATTTTCAATTATGTCTTCATGTCTTATTTCATTTAACAATATTACATACAATGCCATTCCCTGATGATGGTGAGTTTTTAAACTAATTTTTTAATCAGAAAATAAAATCCCATACTTCCTGTAAACTATTACCAAGTTTGATAACATTCTGTACAGTAGTTTTCCTTTTATGGCCATTTCAAAGTGAAACTTTAATTATAATGACCCTGTATTTAAATTTAAAAATTTCTATAATTATCTTTTTCATTTATTGTGTGTAGAGACAATTCTTTTAACTATCATTATACATTATGAAATTTATAAAATTTAGAAATATAAATAATATATCATCTAAAATTTGTACTTCCATTTTGGACTTGTCCAAGTAACAATCATCACAAGTAGAGTATAAAGTGTATTATGAATTACCAATAATGAATTTTTTTGCCATACTACTAAACCTAATGAGGTCTTATTAATTAAAATTAGCTTTATTGGTAACAAATGTCTAATTTATGTTTTTTTTTTTTTTTAAATAAAATATGCATGTTTCAAGACAACATTATGATGATGCAATTTTGAAAAAAGTTATAATTTCAGAAGAGCATAGAAACAGAGCTCACAAACATTATATATTTTATGACATTTGCATTTATATATATTTTTTCTAACTTTTTGTTATAAGCCAAACATTGGCTCAAGCTATTTTACTGCTACTATTAAATAATTAAATTCTGAATAATTTGGACTAGAGGTAGGTGTTAGATGCCATCTCTTATTAATTTCTTGTTAATAAATTAAAACTCAAACAAATTAAAACACAAAAACTTAATCAAATCCATCCAACGAACAAAGTGATAATAAATACAAATACGCCGCACTAACCTTGTATAGCTTTGCAGATAATATTTAGAATGTAACACTAATGTTTTTGACCCATTTCTAGGGTCTTTCAGGTGTTCTATAAAAATTTCTACAAAAATTTAAAGACGAAATAGCCAAAAATATTCAAAATTGAACCATGACATGATGAGAGAAGCACACAATTACACGACATGAATAAAATAAAAAATATATTACTTATTAGCCAAAACAAAATTGTAGTCAACAATTAATATATTTATTACCACTCATTATATAATGCAAAATTGTACTGAAAATGCTGATTTGTTTTTCATAAAACATGTCACTGTTTTACACAAATTAAAAATTTATTATTTTGAGTAATCTTTATGGAATTTATACATGATAACATAAAATTGAGTCAGTGGCATCTACATGAGGACTATTATAACTAAATATTTCCTGGAAAATTAAAAATCAAGCAATAAAATATAAACTCAAAAATGCTTCTCACACTTCCTGGTAGCAATAATTAACATTTGAAAAATAACTCATGGTCCATTTACCTAAAGTTTCAGTGTGTGAATGATGCAAAATTGCATCGGCACATTGTAATGAAGCTCACATAATGCAAAATTGAGTCAACTGGCAGGTGAAAATGTTAAAGTTCTAAAAATACAGAAACAAATTCAAAATGTAAATGCTATAAAAATGTTTTAAATTGGATAATTTATATAAGAACTGAAAGCACTAGTAGATAATTTTTCACTTCTTTTCTGGTTCTTGATCATAAAATGGAAAAATATATAATTACAGTAGAATCTCGATTATCCAGACTAATTGGGGATGAAAATAGTCCGGATAAGGAAAAATCCGGATAATCAAAAAAATAATAATTGACAGTGTACAGTACTGTACATACAGTATGAAAAATTTTTATTTGTCTAGATTTACAGATACTGTAGCTTCAATATTATTTTTTATTAAGAAATTCAATTATTGTTTAACTTCATAATTTTTTCACTTTGTTTTTTTATATCTGAGATCGTTGACGTTCCAACACCATATTTATTAGACAATGAACGTCCAGACTCACCATGTTTCAAACCATTAATTATATCCAATTTGTCTTTAATGATAATACAACACGTTTTCTTTTCAATGACATATTGGTAGTAATAAAAATAAATACTGTATTTAAATCATTATCAAATTTTCAAGAAACAAACATTTGTATTGAATTTGGACTACTACTGACAGGTACTAACAGACTGCCTATTGTTTAAAGGCCCTCTGGTGGTGCAAGAAGACGGATTTTATAAAATAAAAAGCAGTTGAAACTGTCAAATTTTTATTCATAAAAATGCAAACTATTTATCGTTTTATGACGAGTAAAATTTTTTCATCATGTTCACAGCTTTTAAGTAATGCATAAACCTTTAAGGCGCAAAGCCATAGGCAGTGGCCTATGCCGCCCATGCCTTACACCGCCCTTGGCCATAGAAATGATGTAATTTCAATATAAATTATTTATAAATATGTATGTGAAGTTATATTTTTATTACAATGCAAAATGTATTAAAAAGTTTACAACCACTATGCCGGGTGAGATATTGTTGGAACAAAAAAAGTTATGCATTCCATCACATATATAAACAGTATTGCAATTCACCAAGTGCAAATCAGCAAATTCATAAAATTCTTGTTTATTTTGAACAATCCGGTTAATCGAGATCCGCATAATCGAGGTTCTACTGTAATTGCAAAAAAATATTTTTGATTTTTTCAGGAAAGAAAATTATAATGAGATTTATTAATATGAGAAGACTTGAGCATGCAATGTATTAAGTAATAAACTTGTGTTATACCATGGTAATTAGTAATTATAAATTAAATTAATTTAATTTTTTGTACTGTCTCTAAATAGAATGAAAGATTACTACAGTCTTTTACTTAATTTAAGTAAAGGACTGCTTAAATTTAGTAATTTAAAGATTATTATTACATATTGATGGAAACAAAATAAGTATAACAGTATTAGAAATAAAAACTTGAAACTGTTGAAGAAATCATAAATATTTAATTATATTAAATGTTATTTGGAATTTTACATTCCCATTTTTAGATCTACTACATTCAATGTTAACATTCTAATGATTCAAAGAGAACAACTGCACATGCTAATAAACTTTTGAATCAAACTGATCAATAGCATAAGTTTGAAATTTTAAATTATATGAAATCCATAAACTAACTGGTATTTTTAAAATTAGCAATATTTGAGATTTACAACATTTTAATAAACATGAAATAATGTTTTGTGTTTCAAGTATAATAGGAAATATGAAAAGCAAGTGTATACAACCTTTACACAAAAAATGTCTCAACTTTAAAAAAAAAACAGGATTAGACAACTGTCAATCTCAGCCTTAGCTTTAGCAAGAAATTACTTACTCGTTTTTCTTCTTCTTCTGCTTCAGCAAATAGCCTTCTTATATTTGCTTCTGATTCTCCTACATATTTATCTAGAATCTGAGGACCATTTACTATCTTAGGTTCACGTGCATTTAACATTTGTCCAATTTGGCGAGCCATTAAAGTTTTTCCAGTACCAGGAGGTCCAAAAAGCAATATTCCTCTAACATGTTTTAAACCTATATATATATATATATATTAAAAGAAAAAAAAGAAAGAAAAAATGATTCATAATAATGTACATTATTTAAAAAATAAAACATAAAATGACATATATTGGTAAATACTTTTATAAAGTTAAGTGAATCTGATTATCTTTTTAATAAACATTCAAATAGTAAATATTCATATTTTCATTAAATTATCAATATATATTTTCCAATAAAATTAAAAATGATACAAAATCATTCTGCAAATGGATACAGGGTATAGATAAAGAATGTTTTTTATATTAAAATTGGAAACTAAGTTTATATAAAAGTTATTTTAAATTGTGTTACATTTTTAAAAATTAAGTTGTGATATTTAAGTTGGTCTAACTGTTATATGTCAAACAATTAGATCAACTTATACACACATTCTGACATTTTTTTTAATGAACTGCATAATTTATTTCCACTAAAGCTTATTGTTCAAATCACTAAAGCTTCACTAAGGCTCATTTTTATTTACTAGTTAATCAAAAATGTGGCTGTTGCAAATTAACTTATTAAAATTTTTCTTGATTAAATTTAAATTGTTAGAATACATATCAGAAATTTAATTATTAATACAAGATAATAAATATAACAAACATCAAATACAGGATGCCCATTCAAATCCATAAGAAAATTTCTCAGCTATTTCCACCAGTTTTTCCAGTTCATTTTTAACTCTTTGCAGGAAGCACTTTGATGCTTTTATAATTCATATTTCCATTACAAAATAAACAATTTCGTTTTGGTTTTAATTTCTGTGCAAATCTCACTGAAAATCAATAGTTAATAATAGTAATATAAAATCCTTAAATTAACAGTTCTCAGTTCAGTGGACTTCAAGTTTAAGAAACAAAATTCTATATTTTCAAAATTAGCATTTCTTCATTATTTTCCACAATGAATAATTTTAAAATCATTTTATTTATTCATTCTTGTTATGGGTAATTTACTTTTATTTATTGTAATTTTCTATTACCTGGAATCTATTCAGTGAAATTTGTGACTTTTTATATAAAAACAGGTGATGCTGTGTTTATAAGCATAGTACAGGTAGTTTCTGAGATTCCAACTTTCAGATATAACATGTTCCTAAAAATGTGTATATAATTAAAATTTTTGAAAATTGAACAAGTTGCAGGTTATAAACACAGTTCTGTTCTCTGAGAACTAAAATAAAAATTATAACATCCCTTATTAAAGGTAATCATTTAAAAATTAAGCTTTTCCATGCTACAATTTATGTATCATCATTTAAAGTGTTAAACCATAAATTAAACAGAAAGCAAACAGAAAAGTTAATTTTCACAAATGATTTTACTGTTACTAAAAAAAAAACTGGCAGAAATGGCACTAGCACAATCTCCTAGCTAACAGATATTATCTGTATTCAATTTAATGGACATTCCAAAATATTGGAAATCCCTTCTTCCAAATACTGTAAGTTAATTTATTAAATTGAGGATTTACTGAATGGCATTGACCAGGGCCATTGAGAGAGAAGCCAGGAAGTTTTCCACAGACCAGGAAAAAGCTTAGGGGCTTGTACTGGATCCTTATAGGTATTGACCTATAAATTAATTTTATTTTTATTAACAAAAAAAAAAAAAAAGCCCCACCAAAGAGCAAAAGGGGTTTCCTCTATTCCTAAGCGCCACATAAGCTCTCAATAACTATGATCCTATTGAAAATGCAAACAAACACAAAATACATGATGAAAACCATTCCAAATATCTAATTGTTATAAAAGCTTTTAGTACACATTAATCAACTATTATACTAAGACAGTCCATCTGGCTACATCATCTTAAACACTGTATGTTACAATAATCTCAAGGAAAGCATAATTTTTAAAAAGTCATAAAATAATAATTGATGTAATTAAGATGATAAAAAAAATTTATATATTTATTATTTTACATGGACCTACATAATTATTAACTTATTTGTTAAAATAAGAGATATATACAAAAATAAAAATTGAACAAAGTAATAGAATTTACTTTGTTTTCAATTTCCTTGTTTATCTCATGAGCTCATTTCAAATTTTTTTTAAAAAAAAGTTAAACATGTGATGATATAAATAGATGTAATATACTGATCAAGAAAATTATAGACTTGTGGTTTTCACTATGTTATTTTCCAAAGTTACTGCTAGAAATCAACATAAGCATCATCTGCTTAGTGGCACTTGTTAGTGCATTAATTTAAAACTTTGGGAATTTTCCAGACATACCCTGTATAATTTTTCAATCTATATAATATTCATTATAAAATAAAAAACAAATCAATTTAACAAAATGAAACAAAAAACAATTATAATCAAAAAACAAAATTCTGGGCTATTTCACAGCTTTTCCATGATGCCTAAAATTCAAGGCTGATTAGTTTTCCAGGGAGGTGAACACCCTGAAATAGTATATAGTAAGAGGAGGTATTTGAAATTTTACTACTGCTAATTTTTATTATTGTGGGAAAAATAACATTGGAGATAATATTCAAATTATCAGTCATGTACTGATTATAAAATTCTTTTATTAAGACTGTACATTATAACTTGAGAATTTTTGACAAAAATTATTTTCTAATAAACTAAATCCTAAACTATTAAAAAAATGCTCTAATAATTAGAAACAATATCTTGAAATACTTTTGTGGCAAAATCATAATCCTATTGTTAAAAAATACTCATTTATTAATTTAATACAGTCAAACCTCAGGTTTCAAATGCCTCACCTTTTGAACAATTTGATTTATGAATAAAATTTTGAATGCCATATTTGTCTATGTTGCCATATGATAACTCGATTGCCGAATAAGATACTCAGCAAGAGCCAGCCACAGACAGTTAACTCCATATACTTCTTGTGTAAAAGAAAGTTGACAGCCTAACCAATCAATGATGAGACTACTGATTCAGATGTTGGTGGGACCAAAATCACTTCATGTCAATAGACATCACGATGCATAGTATCAATGATGATGTTATTCAAATTAGATTTAAATGTGCATGTGAGTAAATTACTACTTCCATTTTTTGGTACATGTCACAATTAAATTTAAATCAAATGAATAAAAACCACATTAACTGACATTTGTGTAATATAAATGGCATCCATGAATCTGTGTTTAAAAGTGCGTAACTCCAAATAAATAACAAAAATTTATTGACATATTATAATATTGATATTTAATTCAATATTCATTAATACTGGGTAACCAATTAATTAAAACTAAAAATAATAAAATAATAATTAAAACTGGCCTTTACACCGAAGCTAAAACTAAAAGTAAAATTTAAATTAAAATTGAAATCAAATCAATTGAAACATAATATTTCGGAAGTGTGAATAAAGTACTTTTGTCCGTCTTGATTGATTTNTATAAATTTTGACATTTATAATTTTGAATATTGTTTTTAATGATCTGTAAAAATATAAAAATTCTAATTTTTTTTATCACTGAATAACATTTTCCTCTTGCAAATCACCACTTTTGAATGGACACTTGCTACAAGCTCCAATGTAAAGTAGTTTATACTGACTGATTATGAGCAGAATAAAAATTTGGAGATTGTGATAGACTAGAAGAACTGTTCAGTCCCATGACATTATCAGATCTTTTATCAGATCTTTTAAAGTTCTAGCAAAATTGCTGCCATCTATCAGTTGAAAAATATGCTATTTCTTTAAACATCAGTTATAAGATAATGTGTATGGCATGTACTGTATGTCACTGTACAAGAGAGAAAACTTGACTGACAATAACCAGTGTAGTTTGCATGATTCATATGCAAATACACTTCACTAGAAAAAAGGATGACTAGAAAGGAATATATCTAGAGTGGCTAAACCATACCTTGCAAGCTGCATTAAGATCATCTTGAGACCCTTACTGTAGCTCCAGTATATTTATACAATCTCACTTCATAAACTTTATACATATTACTTACACATAGAAATTTTGTAACTGACTATTATATAGCATGATAATAAACACATGAATCACAACGATGAACAGGCAACTGAAAGTTGAATGTACATTTGTAAAGTCAAAGGGCTTCATCACATGTTTATCTAACTGGTCATAAGATACAAGAAAAGTAAAACAGCAGTGACATTTATTATAAAACATGATATCTATTGTAGAGTAGTAATAACCATTGTATTTTAATTTATATAAAATATATTTCTAATAGATATGGCTCTTGAGTATTTCTGATAGGCAATATGGCTTCTGTCATGACAGGGTTTGGCCATCCTGGAATATATGTTTATATCTATTATCATGTTTGTAGCATGGTTTTGTTATTTATTGAGTTTGATACAATCTCAAAACTGCAGAATTGAAAATTACATTATTATTATTATGTATATAATTTATCTTGACTTAAAAAAACACGGCAATTAGATCGTGTGCTGGCATTAGATTACATTTGAATAGAGTCCTTCCCAGGAGCTTAGATAGCAGTTACTACTGAAATAATAAACTAAATTTATCTATTCTTTTTATAAACTGAAATCATTAATATAATATCTAATCATTTGTAAATGCTAATCTCCTTCATAATAAAACAATTATAAATTTTAAATAAATAAATAATTAAATACTTTTTATTATCCATTCTGAGTTATTTATGTGATACATTAAATAGTTAAATATAATGCACTATAAAGAATTGTAAGCAGTTGAGCTCAAATTTAGCTTTCATTTTTGGGGTTTTTATTTAGTTCTTGTAATTTATTTATTTTGGGGATGTTTTATTTTGTTAAAAGATAAAAACTCCACACCCAACCAAAAAGGAAAAATCTGAATTTGAAAAAAAATAATTGTCTTATCATGACTTGCACCCATACTGCTTATGTCACCAATCTACTATGGCATCTAGGATTGAGTGATTTCCAAATAGGAATCAAAGAATGGTCTCTCAATTCCAATTGTGACCAATTCAAAAAAAATCAAAAGTAATTATTTTTATAAGTTTG